TATCGAACCTGTTCCTTCGGACGCTTTACCAAAACGGAAAAAGCCAGTCGAAAAACAAAGCAGCAATCTGTCATCAATTCCTGTGGGCTCTTTTCCCCGTTCCACCAATCCGGCAATTGTGGCTGAAATCCTTCGCTTGCAAACTGCTGGCTTTGCTGAAGTTGCTTGGATTTTTGAGCGCTTGCACGCTGACTCCATTTTGCTCCCTTTGGCCCAACAGGCGCAAGACGTTGGTGGTTGGAAAAATCTGGGTGAAGCTTTGACTTATAACAGTCGTGAAGCTCAAACTCAACTCCAGAATGATGGCATCCATAGCCCAAGCGTCCGCTGGCTTGTGTTTCGCATGCTCCAGCGTGGGAGGTATAATCGGTTTGCTTCTGTCCTGGCGGCTGGTCATTGGGACCTCTTGCGTCAGAGTTTGGCTGTGTGCGACGTTCCTGACTGGTGGTCGCCTCCTTGGTGTCGTCCTGTCCATCGTCCGCATGCTGCGCAAGCTCGTGGTCGTCGCCCGTTGCTTCCTCATGAATGGCATCGCGCCCAAAGTTCCAAACGCAGTCGCCCCCCTGTTCCTGTTGCTCCTTGTGTTGGTGGCCCTGTCCGTTCGCGCAGTCGTTCCCGTTTTCGCGATCAAACCTTGCCTGTGCCGGTTGCTCAACCTGCTGTAGTTGGAGCTCGTAAGGTCTCTGTGGCTGTTCCCACCTCTTCTGTGAAGAACAAGAAGAAGCGCAAGGCGAAAGGCCAAGCTGATGTCAAAGGGGGTGAAACTGAATCTGGTTCAACTCCTTCCTTGTTTCGGGTTGCTGCTATGAATGTGACTTCCCTTTTTTCCCGTGTTGCTGCGGTCTGTGCTCTTACGTTTGGTCTGGCGTGTGTCTCGGAGACTGCTCTCACCGGTACCGGGCAAGCCAGTGTTACTATGCGACTGCAGCAGTCAGGGCGTTGTGTAGTTTGGGGCGCTCCTGTGCATGGTCCTGGCGTTTCGTCGTCTCGAGGTGTTGCCTTGATTGGTGGTCCTGGCGTTCGTCTTTCGCCGCTTGATCTCCCGGATTGTCTGTTGGATTATTGGGCCGATGGTCGTATTGTTGCTGGCAAAGTGTCTCAGCAGTTTGGCAAAGCGGATATTACTTGTGTTGCGTGCTACGGTCACACACATGATGTTCAACGCCGAGAAGACATGCTGAGCCAGATTGTTGGTTGGGTGCTGTCGTTGCCCGGTCATGTCCTTGTCGCTGGGGATCTCAATTCCTCTCTTCAGGATTCACTTGCTTTACACCAGCTCGTGCGGCAGGGTTATCGAACGGCCAATCCTCAGGAAGTTGTGACATGCCGTGCTCATAACTCTCACACGGGTTCCGTTATCGACCATGTCCTTTTTTCTCCTTCATTGTTGCAGTCCTTTGTGTGTGGGGAGGTTCTCTCTGCTGCTCCCTTCCCCACCCACCGACCCGTTTGCGCTGATTTTGATTTCAATCCTGCTCATGACTCTTGGAGTGTTTTGCAACCTCCTCGGTCTTTCCCTCTTTCCGAGTGTGTCTCCCGTTCTGTTAAGTCCCAGGATTGGTCTGCTGACTTTATTCATGTCTCTAATCTCCTTGAAGATGAACGCCCTGATGATGCGTATGCTCTATGGACCCAACTCGCTGAATGTGAACTTGCGCGGCAGTGCCGACTTGGTGGAAAAACTGTGTGCTCCTCCCATTTCGGTCGCGCTGTTGTTCCTGCTCTTAGGGTTTGTGATCCGCAGTCTCTTCGGCTCCAAGGTGATGTTGACTTTCGTCGACTTGAACGCGCTCGTGCTGGCTTAGCTGAACTGTGCTCCTGTTGGGATTCTTGTGTTGCTAACAATCACAGCCAAGCCATCTGGACAAATGCTCGTCGTCGCATCCTCCTTGTGTTTCGCTCTCATCCTCTCCCGAGCCAACTCCCTGGCAAGGTTGAAGTCCAAACTCAACTTGATTGGTTGCGGCGCACGATTGATCGGCGCAATAAACAACGTCGCGATGAAGTTTTGTCGGCCTGGCGCACTCGCATGCAAATGTCGCAGGCTGAAAGATTCAAATGGGCTAAGGCCAAATACACCTCCTGGCAAAACATTCACGATACCGTTGCTTGCTTTCGAAAGGTTGAAGAGATCTGGCAACCGATCTTGGCTCGACGCCCGGATGCAGCCCCTTCTTGCCCATCAAACTTCACCGAAAATGGTTTTGCTGAGCCTGCCTTGTCTAGCTCTCTCAAAAGTACGTTGCACCAGCTTGATATGCTTCGCATGTCTGGTTCTGATCTTCGGTCTGCAGTTGACAAAATTGCGGCTCACTCCGCTTGTGGTGCTGACGGTTGGCGTCGGTGTGAGTTGCTTGCCTTGCCCGCCTGTTTCTGGGATCTCTTGGCTCAGGTTTTGTATGGCATGGCTGCTTCTGGCACTTGGCATCCTTGTTTGCGCACGGTTGTGACTACTTTGATTCCCAAGAAAGCTTCTGTTGACTTTCTGACTGATCCTGCTGGTTTGCGTCCGATCTCTGTGGCTTCTGTGGTTTACCGTGCTTGGTCTGGTGTCGTTGCGCAACGTCTGCATGCTGTTTTGGAGTGTTCTCTGCCATCGTGCTCTCATGGCTTTCGCACTGGTGAGTCTGCCCAAGCTGCTATGGCCTCCACGTATCTTCGTTGTCAAAATGCTTCCTTGTCTGGTTGTCATGTTTATTTGGTTTCCTATGACATGCACAAGTGTTTCGACTCGCTTCCTTGGCGCAAAGTGCGTGACAGCTTGGTTGAATGCGGCGTGCAACCTGCGTGTGCTAGTGCTCTTCACAGTCTGTGGTCTGGTCTTCGTCGTATTTGGAAACTCCAAGGTCGTTTCTCTGACGCGTCCTTCTCCAGTACTAACGGCCTGTTTCAAGGGGACCCTAGCGCTCCGGCGTGTTTGTCTGCGTTTCTCTGCTGTCCTATTCGTGAGTTGGCTCGTCGTTTTCCTGAGGTTTCTATCTCGCTTTATGCTGATGATGTCCTGTTGTCTTCGCCTCATCTGTCTCAGCTTCACGCTGCGCATGATTTCTTTGTTAGTTGGCTTCAGGACCAGCATGTCACCTTGAACATCGGTAAGTGCAAGTGGGCCAGTACTTGTCCAGGCAATGATGCCGTGAGCGCGGCTCATTTTCAAATTGGAGGCGTCAACTTGGGGCGTCTCACTATTTTGGAAATATTGGGTGGGCATTTTGATCTCGGCGCTCTCTGCGTTGGCTCTTCTGCTCACTGGACTGCGTTGTTGGACAAGTTCTTAACCATTGCCAAACGGTTCAAGTGTTTGTCAGTCGGGTATGAACCTCGATCTAGAGATATTGGGGCTTTGATGAATATGCTCACTTACTCTGCTATCGCTTGGGATCCTCTGAGTGCGGTTGATGCTCGCACACAGCGCATCCTTGTCAATGTGCTCTCTGGTGGTCGCACCAATACCCGTAGGTGCTTAGAAGTTAGTCTTGCTCTTCTCAGTCCTATTCATCGGTCCTCTATTCCTCATGCGCTGCTTCATGAACAGGTTGCGTTGTTGTTTCGGCTGGCAAATACCAATTTGGAATATCAACAGCTTTTGCAGTCCCATTTCCATTTATGTTCTGAAATGACTTGTCCTCCTGCTGATTCCTTTTATGTTCGGCTTCAACAGGCCCTTCAGGCTTTTGGGTGGAGGTGGGTTGCTTGGAATCAACTGGCGTCTCAAAGCGGACAAATGTTTCATCTAGTCTGCAAGACCATGGAATGTCGCCGCAGAGTTATGTGTCAATCCTTCGCCCAGGCCTCTGATATGGCTGATGTGATGAAAACTTTTGCAAGCACACGTTTGCTTCATAAGAGGGAACTGCATCAACATAGCCTTTCATGCTTGCATGCTTTGCGCGATGCCATGCGCCATGTGTGTTTTCAGACTGCTAGTCGGCGCAGACGTGACATGCGCAATTTGGAACATGTTGATCGGGCTCTGTTGCGTCGTGTTCTGGGTTCCGATGAGGTTGCATGCAGTATTCGTTGTATTATGCAAGGTGCCACTCTCACTGCTGATCGTCTGAGCCGGTCTTCTCGCGGTACTGTGTCTGCTACTTGTCCGTTTTGTCGCCTTGGTGTTGAAACCGAGATTCATCGTTGGTGGCAATGTCCGCGTTGGGATTATGTCAGGTCTTCCTGCTTGGGTGAGCATGCCCCTGTGATTTGCGCCCAGCTTGCTGCAAGCGACTCTGTCGCATCAATTTGTGGCATCCCCACTCTGGGTTTGTCAGCTTTTCTACAGTCAAAGTGGGTAGACATTTGTGCTTGCATGGCGGCTGTTTTGGGAGCTGCCAATGAACATGATCAGTAATTTTTTCGTTGGCTCTCAGTTTTGGCGTGCATCGGCACTGTGTCCGTTTTGTGGATGCTTTGTCCTTGGCTGTGCGCATTTCTTCTCGAATTTGATCCTTGTGATTCTTTTGTATAGCTTGTCTGGCTTGGATCTTTTGTTGAACCCGGGGCAGATTGCATTCATGCGCTTTTCCAGCATGATCTTTTGGCAACAATTTTGTGGGCCTGTGGCCCTTCACCTGGGGTAACAGATTCAAGTTCTTTTCTTGGGTCCGAGATCCCTCATCTGCATTTTGTAGGTGAAAATTGGATCAAGATGAAAGCCATGAAGGCCATGAAGGCGATGAAGGCGATGAAGGCAATGAAGGCCATGAAAGCAATGAAGGCGATGAAGTGATTCGTTCACTGCGCTGGCAAAGCTTGAGCGGTTTGTGGTGCTCAAGTGACATTGCAGGGAGGCGTTTGTGCAGGTCCATAGGATCTGCCGGTCGAGTTGTGCAGTCAAGGACTTGGAGTGCAAAGCCCTTGTGCGCTTGAAAAGCGGCGTAGTGCTTGCATCACTGGTGCTTGAAGGGTTTACTCTATCTTGCTTGTTTTGTCATATCTTTGCGTTTTTTTGTTCTTGAACGAATCGCGAGAACTGTTTTTTTTTTTCTGTTTTTCTGCCGCGCCAGGTGCATGAAACCATCAGCGAAGCCGTTGCGAAAATCGGCAATATGGGCTTTGGCTTGGTTCAACGAGGCGCCATGCCACTGCTGCAGAAACTTATAATCTAAGCCTTTGTTCAGCGCAGAGTTTCACCAGCAAAAAGGCACGCAGGCTGTCACATACTGGATTGTATTGGCCAAGATCTGGACGTTTTGCTAAAATTACCAGCAATCAATCTGGAATTCCTTCAAGACTGTAGGGCTGTCTGCTGATTTTCCATCTTGAGATTCCTGACAAATAGGTGTGACTCAAAATTTCCCTAATCCCAAAATGGATGGTTTGATCATGTTTATTACCTAAAAATCATAGATTCAGGGCTGCCTGTATCAGTAGCTAGACCCCCTTCTTTAACTGGAAAGTACAACTCTCCATTACATGACATTACCAAAAGCACAGGCATTAGATGACATCACCACAAGAAGTTGGTTCACGTGGTATATGAAATTTTAACACAGTTCGCCGCAGGCTTCCCCAGTTGCCCCCCAGCAGGTGAAGATTTCTTCGGCATATTCGATTCGGAAGCTGCCCTCAACGGTGCCGTGATGGGCGAGGCAGGGCCCAGGGGAACATTTGGGAAGTGCCGAAACGGCTGGATTTTTTCGGAAGGAAAACTCTTCAGAACATGAATTCATTACTAGGGTTTTCAATGATTTTCAAGGTCTTTTCAATGATGAAATTTGGGACGAGAATTACTGAACCTCAAACGCGAAATGAGGAATATCCGAAGCATTGATCCAAGGCTTTGCAAATTGGACTGCTCGGATTCACCATTCCCATGATAAAAACTGGATGTTTCATTTGTGAGTCCAATGTTGTCTACTGTTTTTGTTATAGCTTTTCAGCTTGGAAGCGCCATATTTGGCCATGGGCCTGAAAGCCAATGACATTGGATGGCTGCGTCCGCCTCAGTTCTGCTCCCAAAACTCGATGGTTCCAAATTGACTCACATCTTCAGCATGATGATCCAACAACAACGTACTTGCATACTTTTAGTATATCTATATCTATAGATAACTCGTATTATATAAATTACTTTTTGCATCGTATAACATTTAGTATACAATATACGCCATACAAAATAGGATATACATTACACAACACATTATATAACAATATATCATATATTTTTGTAATGCATAATGTACATCGTATAATACACATTAAATGTTTCACATTATACGGTTTACATCTTACATAATACAGCATACATTTTATTATATGCATTAAAATATATACATTTTATATAGTATACATGATCTGACCTACATTATATGATATACAATATTTATATACATTATATGACATGCGTTAATCAACAATAAATTAATAAATTATTCAATATACATTTTACATTACGCATTATTCAATATACATTATATGACATACATTGAATACATTACATACATTATATACATCATATACATTTTTAAATTATATACGTTATCTACTTTTACGTTAGACATATTTTGTTCATTATATATGTTATATACATTATATACATTATTTGCATTATATGCATGATATATACATTATATACAGTATATACTATACATGATACATTGTATACATGATATGCATTATAAATTTATTTATTTTATATGCATTCTATACATTATTTGCATTTTATTTATAGATTGTATACATAATATACATTATATACATTATATACATTATATACATTATATACATTATATGCATGTATATCATAAACGTATACATCATTTGATATACAGTCTATAATATATATTATATTTGATATATTATCATTATTCATTATTAATTTATACTGGGTCTGGAATTGTTTTGGGATTTGTTTTTTCCGTTTAGTGTTTTTTGATTTCCATTTCCGTCCATTTTCCATGCTATTTGCAGCAATTTGGAGCTGGAAGCTGCCATTTCAAAGGCATTTGCAACATTGTTGAGTTGGAACCTCTCATTTTCCCTGGTATTTGCGGCATTTTGGTGCTCAAACTGTTCATGTAACATGTTAGTCTGCAACTGGGGTTCATCTTTGGTTTCAGGGTTGGTTTACTGTATTTTTTTCGGGTTGGTTTTAAGTGGTTTAAGTGTTTGTTTTAGATTTTGAGAGTTAGGGTTTATGTGCTAGTTTTTTTTTTTAGAAAAGGGTTGGTTCAACATATTTGTAGGGTTGGTTTAGGGTTTATTGAGGGTTGGTTTAAGATCTAATTACTTGGGGTTGGTTTAGAGTTTACTTAGGCTTGGTTTCATGGTTTGTTTAAACTTTGTTTAAGATCTAGCTTGGTTTAGGATCTATTTAGGGTTGGTTTTAGGGTTTATTTAGGGTTGGTTTAAGATCTATTTAGGGTTGGTTGAGGGTGTGATTAGGGTCGGTTTAAGGTTTGTTTGAGGTGCGTTTCCGGTTTATTTAGGCTTGTTTGAGGTTGGTTTCCAGATCATTTAGGTTTGGTTTAAGAGTTCTTTAGGTGTGGTTCTTGATTAGGGCTGGGTTTAGGGTTCATTTAGGTTTGGTTTCAGATCTCTTTAGGGTTGATTTAGTGTTTATTTAGGTTTGGTTTCGGATCGATTTAGGCTTGGTTTGCAATCTATTTAGGATTGGTTTAGGGATTATTTAGGGTTGGTTTAGGGTTTGTGTAGGGTTGGTTTAAGGATTGTTTGGGGTTGGTTTAGGGTTTATTTAGGCGTGTTTTAAGATCTATTCAGGGTTGTTTGGTTTAGGGATTATTTAGGGTTAGTTTCAGTTTTATTTAGGGTATGTTCAGGGTGCACTTAGAATTGTTTAGTTTTTTGTTGGGGTTGGTTTAGGGTTTATTTAGGGCTGGTTTAGGGTTTATTTAGGGCTGGTTTAGGGTTTATTTATATCATGTTTCTTAGGGTCTATCTATGGGAAAAAACAACGAGAAAAACAGGGAAACGCAGAAAAGTGGAGAAGCAGAGAATCAAAGAAGCAAAAAAGAAGGGAACCACATAAAAGTGGAGAAGCAGAGAGGCAAAGAAACAGAAAAGAAGAAATGCAAAGAAACACAAAAACACAAAAGCAGAAACACATGAAAACACAGAAAAGCAGGCAAGCAGAGAAAAGCAGAGAAAAGCACAGAAAAACATAGAAAAGCAGAGAAACGCAGAGAAAAGCAGAGAAAAACAGAGAAAACAAGAAAACCGGAGAAGCAGAGAAGCAAAGAGGCAGAGAAAAACAGAAAAACAGAGAAACTGGGAACGAAAAATCAAAAAACACACTGAAACATTATTACAGTATATAATATGCAATATTTGCTATACATTATACAATATTGATTGTACAATACACATTTAATATAGATTGTATGATATACATTGTTTGCTATACATTATAAAATACGCTTTATATAATACACATTATGCAACATACATTATATGATATACTTTATGTAATATATACACGATATATATATATATATATTATTATTTATTATTATTATGATGATGATGATGATTATTATTATTATTACTATTGTTATTATTATTATTACTTTATACATTGTTTATTGTATATATATATAATATTTTTGAGATAATGAGTTCCGCATTCCCAACATCTTTTCACAGCTACCAGCTGTGCAGGACCTGAGCCCCAAAAGCAAAAGCAGCATGCGCGTGGCGGGGCTGGTGGTTTCAGCGCGCTCAGCCGACTCTCCATCCAGCAACAGCAGCCCTGGGCGGGAGCAGCTGGTGCCCGAGGCGCCAACAAAAATATGGTATAAAAAGGGGTGCCACAAAAGATTGAAGAGCTGATTTTGAAAGATGTTGAACTTTTGTTTTTCGGATTTTTCCACTTTTCCACATGTTTCAATGTTTTTTTTTGCCATTTTGCAGGGGGATCGTTCTGGGTTTCCGTGGAAAAACATTGCGCGCCAGGCTGCACAGCAGATGGGCAAAACGCTGCATGAAATCGCCAAGCTGCTGACGGACTCACCACGCCTGGGCTTCAGTAGGTCATCACCATTGCCCACCCGGGAGCAGGAAGAAGATGAGATCACCAGGCCGTGGCCATGGGGGCATGGGCTAAAAGGTGGAGTTTTTGTGGGGCCCGGGGGCCTGGGGGCGGGTGAGAAACGCACTGTGTCGGAGGTTTCGGACAGACCCTCCAACCGACCGCAGCAGCCCTCAGCGAATCAGAGGGTGTGACAGGCAAACCTGTAGCAGGTTGAGAAGTTATTTGTTTTCTCAGAAGCCGCTGACCGCCATGACAGATGTTTTTATTGTAGAACACAGGCATGGCTTGTTTTTCAAAGCCAGAGCATGCTGAAGAGATAAGGTCACATGATTCAGTCCTTCCTATACTTGACGGTGATTTTTTTTACTTCCAGACCTGGGATATCGACCCATGGTGACCCCAGGTGGTCATTGAGCCATCACCGAGGTTTTGGTTTTGAGGTGCCACACGAAGTTGGAGAAGTTCGGGGAGCTCAGATTTTGGATGCAGCTTGGGGAAACTCAAGGTTGATCAGATGCCCATTTGAACATCCCAAAACGTCTGCAAGTACTCCAAGTATCATTCTATTCAGATCTTGTAGGGCCGAACATTTTGCGGGATCATATCCCGAAAATCGACCCACAGGTTTGCGCTGTTTAGGTTTCTGGAAGGAAGTGTTGCAAAGCTGTTGCAAGTGCTGCAAGTACGGCAGCAGTGTCTTTTCATCCTATGATTTCGGTCCATTTCAAAGAAAATAATGAAACAACATGAAACAATGACTCATTTTTCCAACCGTTCACCATTGTTCACCATTGTTCACCATAGTTGCAAACATGTCGAAATTTTTGTTCACCCCGCAAAAAAGTGATGTTTGCCGAAGAACATAGAGGAAATGCAATACCTAGAACTACTTAAAACCTACATTTTTTTTTTCAAAAATCGTTTTTTTCTTCTGGTATAACTGGTAGATCTGAAAATCATCTAGCACTATATGTAACCGTTACGCGAGACCGGTTTGTGCAGCGTTCAGGCCGAGGGCAGTCAGGCTGCGGGTTGGTGGGTTTATTGGGGGCTACTGAGATGGTGAACCCCACACTTTTCCAATGGAAAATCGAAATTCCAAGGGGTGGATCACTGGAATCACTGGAATCACATAGATTTCGATTCACTTTCCGGACTTTTTTAGGATTTTCAGAGAGACAATGGGGCCCCATTTTGCCAGCTTTTTTATTGGAAAGAGGTTTCAACAGCATCTTTTGCAGGAAAATTCTACTCAAAGCGCGGACTTTCAGTATCTTTCAGTTGTCACTTGTGATTGGAATCAAAATTTGTCCACTTGATCGATCGCCCAACAGGTGACGTCAGTAGGGACAGGTCCTTCGACCATTGGCTGGTGACATCCATACGGTTTCTATTCAGGTTCTTGAATTGCAGGGCTTCGCACACCGGCCATGCCCCAAGGGGCCCAGTTGTGGTTCTTCTTCTTCTTCTTCTTGTTGTTGTTGTTGTGGTTGTGGTTGTGGTTGTTGTTGTTGTTGTTGTTGTTGTTGTTGTGCATCTTGTAACCATCTGACAACACATCTTTACTTATTGTTAGTGCCGAAAAATTGCAAAATAGGTGGTGTTTTCACGTTTTTTGAAAACTCTCGCAGCACCAATACACTGTAAATCTCGATGCTTTTTGGTGCCTCGGAAGCCCAAAACCATATTTACGATGTTTTTTGCCTCTGGTAGCAAAACCACAGTATTTACAGTTTTTGGACAGCGCCTAGTAAAAACACGGGTATTTACGCAGTTTTCAGCACGTTGCAAGAAACAGTTTTTCCATGCCAAAGGTACAAACACATACAAAAACACGGTAAATTATCGGTAAATTACAGTATTTTGGCTTTTGCCACGCACCCAAAAAACAGCAAAATCCATCAAAAAGTGTCCAAAATCGGATTATAGAATGGGCTAACACCCTGGTGCCGCCGACCCCACTTTCATGGGGGGAAGCTGCGAGCAAGGGTGAGTTAGGGCTCATGTCAAGGGTAACCAACCCATTAAAAAAAGGATAATTAGTCGGGGAGGGCTAATTATTTTAGTTTTTTTTTTTTGATCAGGTTTAGGAATTATTTTTGGATTCCTGCTTCTCTGCTTTTCCTGCTTTTCCTGCTTCTCTGCTTTCCTGCTTTTCCTGCTTTTCCTGCTTTTCCTGCTTTTCCTGCTTTTCCTGCTTTTCCTGCTTTTCCTGCTTTTCCTGCTTCTCTACTTTTCTGCTTTTTTGCTTTTCTGCTTCTCCTGCTTCTCTGCTTCTCTGCTTCTCTGCTTTCCTGCTTTTTTGCTTTTCTGCTTCTCCTGCTTCTCTGCTTCTCTGCTTTTCTGCTTTTTTGCTTTTCTGTTTTTCCTGTTTCTTTGCTTCTCTGCTTTTCCTGTTTCTTTTTCCTGCTTTTCCTGCTTGCTTCTCTGCTTTTCTGCTTTTCCTGCTTCTTTGCCTTTCTGCTGTTTTGCTTTTGTGCGTTTCCTGTTTCTTTGCTTCTCTGCTTTTTTGCTTCTCTGCTTTTTTTTTTTGCTTTGCCTGCTTTAAATACTTGATTTTCATGTAAGATGCATTTTGCACAGTATTTACATCCCTGAGTATCACATGACCAACCTTCTCTTGAAAACTAGCAACGTAACATGTGAGAAGAGGTGCTTGCATTCTGCTTTGGGGGGAGCAGCGCCTCCCCCCAATCCCCCCCTCCCGTTTTTTTTTATTTAAACTTAAACCCAAGTTACATTAGTTGGTTTTTGCGAACTAACCTTCTCTGGAAAGCTGACAGGTTTACATGTGATAGATAGATAGATAGATAGATAGCTTGGTAGATAGATAGCTAGATAGATAGATAGATAGCTAGATAGATAGATAGCCAGCTAGATAGATAGATAGCTAGAGAGATAGATAGCTAGATACCTCGATAGATAGATGGCTAGATAGATAGCTAGATAGATAGATGGCTAGATAGATAGCTAGATAGATAGATAGATAGCTAGCTAGCTAGATAGATAAAGAGGTAGCTAGATAGATAGCTAGATAGATAGATAGATAGCTAGCTAGATAGATAAAGAGGTAGCTAGATAGATAGCTAGATAGATAGATAGATAGATAGATAGATAGCTAAATAGATAGGTAGATAGTTAGCTAGATAGATAGATAGCTAGATAGATAGCTCGATAGCTAGATAGCTGGATAGACAGCTGGATGGCTAGATAGATAGATAGCTAGATAGATAGAAAGCTAGATAGCTAGATAGCTAGATAGATAGATAGCTAGATAGCTCGATAGCTAGATAGCTGGATAGACAGCTGGATGGCTAGATAGATAGATAGCTAGATAGATAGAAAGCTAGATAGCTAGATAGCTAGATAGCTAGCAAGATAGCTAGCTAGATAGGTAGATAGATAGCTAGATAGATAGCTAGCTAGATAGCTAGCAAGATAGCTAGCTAGATAGGTAGATAGATAGCTAGATAGATAGCTAGCTAGATAGATAGCTAGCTAGATAGATAGCTAGCTAGATAGCTAGATAGCTAGCTAGCTGGATAGATAGCTAGCTAGATAGCTAGATAGCTAGCTAGCTGGATAGATAGCTAGCGCCCTCCCTCAATCCCCCCCAACCGCTTTTTATCTAATCCCAAGCTTCCGCATCTGTAAATATTTGGGTGAACATGCTCACATGTAGAACATCCCATGCAAAATGGAAGGTGAACATGCCAAAATGTGGCAAATACCACACAAAATGGAAGGTGACCATGCCCACATGTAGTAAATCCCATGCAAAATGGAAGGTGAACATGCCCAAATGTGGCAAATACCATGCAAAATGACAAATTCAAGTTCCAAACCGTTGCAAACACTAGGCAAATGGTACCAGCCAAGAAATCCAAAAAAAATTCCCAAACCTGCTCAAAAAAAAATTCCTAAAACTATTTCACACCCATTAGTCGGCCCATCCTCACAAGAAGCTTCCATACCCCTTATATACTGATCTTCCAACGGCAACAAGACAAGATTGGAAAACAAGACTTGGCTGGCCCCAGAGCGGCCGCGCGGCCGCGTCGTTACAGCTGAACGGCAACAAAAGAAGCTTGGGTTGGCCCCAGCCAAACCCAGCGCCTCAGCATGCGAAGCAACGCGACAAGCAAAGCTTCGTGACCTGGGCGCCGCCCCGGCTAGTGCCCAAGCCAGGGTTGGCGGATATGTTATAAATCAAGGCCACATATTTAGATATTTGGTCCCCTTAGCTACCTTTTTGATACTTTCTGGTGTTTTTTTTTTTTCCGCCGTGGGCGCCCTGGGACTGCAGGTTCGCGTGGAAACAGCGCCGGACCTGCAGGTGACGCGATGATAGAATGAGGACATTACTGTACAATATAGCGTAATATAGTCTAGTGTATAATCTATAGTCTCAATGGTCATTTCAGGTACTTGAATTGAGGTACCTACCAAATATATAAGGATGAAGGCCGATATGCCCCAACCATATGAAATTTCCACTGAACATCTGACATTTTTCCGCTCAATTTGACAGGCGCCGCGCCTGCAGTCTGACTTGGAGGAGATCTCCTTAGGCGCCGGCAGAATCTTCGGGCCCCATTTTTTTTGAGAGGGAAGAACAACTGAGGATTGTGAGATGGTTTGATGTTTGATGTGTTTTTTTTTAGATTCCCGTCCCTTTTAGATAACAACATAAGATAACATAAGTACGTGCGTAGCATAAACTGATTCTTGGTGGGTCTAGGATCCTGTGGGGTGAAACTTCTCCAGGTTCCGGAGTCGTGGAGGAGGATCCCAGCCGTCTCTTGGATGAAAAAGACTCCTTAGTGATGCACAAAATGTTCCAGACATTGTTGTTTGATTTCTATTGGTTTGTTTTTTTGAGTGATGTTGGTGGTCAACCACTACCAATATCTACCAATCACCCATTGTCTGTTCATTTGAAGGAATCACTTATATAGCCTATAGCCATTTCTGGTTGGATTTTGGCGCCTGCGAGGTGCCCCAGGCGCTTGAGCCCCACGCTCCCTCGAGATGTCTCAGGTGATTTTGCCATGTCTCAACTGACATCCCAAAGACATTGCACCACTTATTCGTTGGCTGGTTTCTGCATCTTTGGTCATTTTATGGTTGATCATCTCAAATCGATGGAATGAGACGAGCCGATCAGAAGTCCTGAGTCCATTGACATGTGCCGCACAGTCCATGTTGACCATTGATTTGTCTCATGCATGTGTACGCATTGTAAGGATTCCCATGATGGGATGGATGACCACACCCGATAAATCCAGCAATCCATGGTGTTTTGACCATGGCACATGTGTTGACCGAAATGTTATTGGCATTTTTTGTGGACGGCATTCGAGTTTTGGGGTACCCTAAGTTTGAGAGAAACACCCATTTGTTTAGGTTGATCATCATTTTCCCTGTTAATGTCCCTGAATTGGAGTGGGTTTCCGAAAATCGTGTACCCCAACTTTGTCCAAATTTTGGCTGGTTGACTCCCTGTAAATTGATGGTTGAATCAAGTTGAATCCCGGTTTAGGTAGACCCATCCCCGGTTTCAGCAAAATCCGATTCTGGATATCTCTTAGACGCCCAGTCAGCCCAGTCGCAGCGAAAAGTCGCAGCGAAAAATTCGCATAAAATGTGCAGCTGGGGAATCGCCACATCCCGATGACAAAAGATATGAACTGACTGGCCGATGGGGAGTCGTCTTCGGTTTCGTGATATGTTGATTTGTGGGCAGAGCGGCACCCAACTAAGGGTTTTACCACCAAAGATGGAGTTTTCCTATGTTTTCCTCTTTGTTACTGTAAGTCTGGGGCCAAGTGATGTATGAGCATTGAGCGGGCAAACAGATGGTCAGGTGCAGTTGTTTGTGTTTCTTGACCTAATGTTTGCAAGAAAACGTAGCAGATATGGCCACCAGAAGTGCTCGAATTTTAAGCCTACCGCAAGGACCAGATTCTAGACTCTTGCAACATCGTCATCAGATTTGCTGTCTCGCAGTGTTTTGAACAAGTCATCGAAACATATTATGTCCATTGGACATTCCCAAACAAATGCCGATTAATGAGGTAAACTCAATAAACTATCCCCGATTGGGGTTTATTGGGCTTGGTGACTGAGTTCGCCTGGTGGATTCCCTTATTCCAATCACTTCCAAGCAATGGTCCCAACAAAAAACTCAGCAGTTTGATTGGGGTTTCCCACACGATATTAAACCGCAAAACGAATGGAAATGGTTGAATTTGCCATGAATTTGCCATGATTTTTGCGATTTAATTTTTTGTTTTTTTTTTTGGTTTCCTTGGGCCCCAGTCACCGCAACAGCACCCAGCGCGACCCTGGTGCCCTCCCCCGGTGCCACCATGGATGGCGAGCTGACTGGTGCTACAGAAGCAGCTTCCGGCACGCAGGCAGGTGGCAAAATCATCTCTGGTAATCCACAAAAGCTGCAGAAGAATGGTAAATTATACAATTATACAGTAGTAAATCCAATCCAAAAACTATACTGGTATATCTGACCCAGCGTTTGGTGGTCCCCCCCTCGCCCCCCGAGATGGTGATGGTCTAGCCAGATCAAGTTCCACCTTATATTGAGTGGCAGACATCACTTCCGTGTTCACCTACTGGCACATTTGTCACATGTAAAACTACCGGCAGATGGTGATGGCGCCACGTTTGACCCAAGAAATGCTAAATATTGCTGTTTGACAATGCTTTTTGTAAGGTGCCACTCGAAGTGGCGACACCTTTTTTTGCGGTGTGTTTGCTGCTCAAACTGGTACATTCCATGCTAAGAACGATGGTTTCCTGGTGTCTCCTCCCAGCAAAGCACAGCTGAACTCCAGGCCGAGAACCGGGACGTCACGGCAGACTTGGTGCAGTTGACGCATCAGGCCCTGACACCCAGGAGGATATGGCAACTCCAAAAACTCATGGCTTCATCATACAGTTCTCATCCCTGATATCTCAGCATTTACACCCTGTTTACCTCAACTTGACTCAAGCTGGGTCTTGGATGGTGGATCAAACCCAAAGCAATTGTCGGCGTGTGCAAATCAATTAGCGATTTTGGAATCTTTCGAATTTCCAGAATGACCCTTGCTGACTCCAACTTGGAATAGGCTAGATGGGCCAGCAACTCAATTTTGACACCATTCTTGAGAAATATAGCCATTTGTTGATCCCCGATTTACGATACAACCGTGTCATATCGTGTCATGGGTTGAAACAACCAGGTCCCAGCTTCCTTACCAATGGACAACCCGATTTGGCCATCTTTGGCACCAACGGCACCAACCATATCCATGTGCCATGTTCAAAACATGGTAACACGGGGGCTCGAGGCCCCTGACGAAATCAACATTTTCAGCAGCAGTGTGCAATGGTTTTTGCAACCCTCTCAGTGTTTTGTGAACATCGATCGTTGGAAAATGGCCACGAAATGCCATGAGGACGGGGTCCAAAACACACTTTCAATGGTATTTGCAGGGGATTGTGTGCCCCATCATCTCCAAAACTCTTTTTTGACAAGATTTTCCTTCATCACATCCTCCATTTTTCAGTTCCGTGGCCAACATGTATGTCACTTCATGCACTGGAACCATGAGGAGCGTACTTGTAGCAGCAAAGTATCAACTCATGTAACACGAAGAGTGCACAGCGTATCAACACGTATGCAACATGTATGTCAGTGCATGAAAAATGAACCATCAAGAGCGTACTATCAAGAACGTTGTCACCCCCCCTGAAACCCCCGCAAGCAACAAGCAGCGTAGCAACATGTGTGTCAATTCATTGAAGATGAACCATGTATGAAGCACCCCAGAGGACCAGGTCCGACATCTCTATGTCACCGGTATAACATTTAAACGCATCTTGATCTTACACAACATCAATGTAGTAGAATCATGTTCAAAATATAAAAATGTGCAAATTATCCCGGGCCCCGAATCCCCGTGTAACCCCAAACATGGGTCATTTTCCCATAAAGATATAAAAGTGGATGGTCATCAATCCATTCATAAGGATATAGATACACATGGATACACACCCATTATTATTGGTTTTATGATCATTATATTGTTATCAATGATACTTTGGCACCTATAACCATCATTATTCTCAATGGAATCAAGGATTCCTGGATGACCATATATCAAGGCTGATGCTGCTGTGGACCCGCCAGAGAACGTGCAGGGCGTGCTGTGGGATGAGGTGGGAGTCACCTGGAGAAAGCCATTGTTTTTGATATCATCCACGAATGGGGGACAGCGCCAATTGTGGGGACATGAATTTGGATATATTGGGCCATGTGATATTTGGGTTTGCTGAGGGTGCATGTAAAGTGGCAATTTTTTTTTGTGTTTTATTAGGGCAGTAAGGTTTTAAAGCAGTGGGTTTGGAGGTATAGGTCGTGCTGCATTGCCATGTTGGAATACCAGGTTGGCAGTTTTTTGAGCTCTAGACATTTGATTCAGATGATGTGGCCATGCTTCAAAATCATCTAAAATCATTGACCTGCCAAAATGAATGGTAAAGTAGACAAAACGCAAGGTCCCTTTTGTGAACTGACCACAAATTGGCACCAAACCCCTTAGCTGCTTTCGAGAGAGTCCCGATGTGCCTTCTCGACATTTCTCGACCAGGTCTTGTGGCGGATGAATTGGCTGGCAGCTTGACGGATGTTTTGTAAATGTGTTGATTGTGTCATTTTTTTGGCTCAAAATGAGGGTTTGATCTTAAGTTCATCCCCAAAAAACCCTGGAAAATCATTCTCTCAACCTGGGAAAATCATCCCCAAGCCTGGAACATCTGGGAACCTGGGGCTTGGTTTGCGGCTCCAGGCATCTCAGGCTGAGAACCTGGCACGGAAGCCGAGAGAACGATCCAAGGCCCTGGAGATGTGGGACATGGGGGATACCCGGCCTGGTAAACATACGAAACAGCTATTGAACATGGCCCATTTATAGTTGATTTACCAATCAAAAATGCTGATTTTCCATAATTTATAGTTGATTTACCAATCAAAAATGCTGATTTTCCATAATTTATAGTTGATTTACCTATAAAAAATGCTGATTTTCCATAGTTATGTTATATAGTTTACCAGAGGCTAAATGGGGATAACATGGGACATATAACTCATGGAACATTATCCAACAATTGTTGATACTAAGTGCCAAGTGTGCGCATGCTTCAAGATCATAACAACCAATGCCATCCAATGCCTGTGGGTTTGGGAAGCAGAGAAAGCTACAGAAAAATACAGGCAATTGCAGTGTGAGGATGACCATCATAATGCAGAGGCCTTGGAAGAGTTTTGGGGATACATCGAGTGAATGGTCATCGAACCCCAATATCAAAGTGTTTCACCATTGCTGTTTCTGGTGCCTGGTAAGGTACCCAAGATATGGATGTGTCAAGCCCGTGGGGTAGCTTTCTGGACCGAAAAATATCGCCACATGATACGGGTCGCCAGGCCCTACCTTTGACTGATGGCTGGGTGCTGATGTATTCCAAAGAGGTACCTGGAAGGCAGGGGCTTTGATTTTGGCTTTGTCGGAAAATCACGAAAGCTAGCGGCTGCAAGGGGAGGGGCAGGCCTGAGTCCAACTCGGTGATTTTTCACTCGAACCCCCAAGCTCCCGGGGCATTTTGAAGCGGTCTTGGAAGCAGATGGTCACGGGCTCAAATCCTGCCAGGCCTCTAGGCAATCTGTATTCGGCATATCAAAATCCCATCATTTTCCAGGCTCGTATGAACCTCCTCAAGTTGGGGATACAACACCAATGGCCGTCATTGGCCTAGAATCTAGAACATTCTTTTTCTCCGAATTTTGGGCATAAATTATATAAATTGGAGTCTCCCCGATGGAGAATCCCCAAATTTGGAGGGACTGGCCCTGACTTCACCTGCCCTAACCGTGTCGACCCCGAGACCTTGCAGCGTTTCGCAGGAAGTTCTACTTCAACAGCAAATCGGGTGAGAGCTCCTGGAAGGGTCCC